TTAATTAGAAACAAAATTCCATGACAGCCATTCTAATAAATAATTTTTGTTTTTATAATGAGAAAAAAGAAGCTCTCAGCGCATTCATATTATTAACTATTCCTTCATCCACTGTGGTTGTCACGTTTGGTGCCCAGCGATCATTAGCTAGATTCTTTAGAAAAATAAAAAAAAGGTCAGGATAGAACCCTCAGATTATTAATGCTCTCTCATTGTTCCCTAAATAGTCTGCTGATAGCAGTGAAGTCTACCATATTTTCGCAATACTCACATGGTATGGGTGATTATGGTTTGCGAATTTTATTGTTTCTCTTCTCTACCAACACATACCAAGTGATTGTATTTTATAAAGCGGGCAAATTTCTGAAATAATTTAAAGTAGTGCTTTCGAGTTCAAATATCCTGGCAGAAATTAAGTCTGGTAGATTTCTAAATACGAACAACCACCTGTCGTGCCAAGAAAAGGGTATTCTTAAACTCAAACCCCTTTATTTTCCATCTTAAAGGAAATATGCTGGATAATTCCAAATCTGAAGCCTGATCATATTGTCAATGCATAGCTACCGATTAGAATACGGGTCATTATTTCGAAAATTGTTGTAAGAATATTTTTGCGTCTACTGGAGAGAGAAAACTCATTCCTTATCATTTGTTTGGTTTTTTGACAATGTCTGGCCCCACCCCTAATATACATAAGTTAAAGGCGAAACTAATCTTGCCATACTTCCTGTTCTATGGTGTGTGTCGGATCTGAGGCCTATACCTCATGGCAGAGTTCTTGCTTCTATGTTCTACATTCTTTTCACGACTGACCTTCACAATTACCGCAACATATGCGAATGATACTACGTAGTAGCGGCGAGTAGCAATTCTACTGCTATCCCAAGGAAACTACAATCTCAGTTGACCACTCCAGAACCGTGGAACATTGGCATTAATACTGAAAAATCCACACAAGTGGACTCAGACATGAAATATGTCCTCAAGTGGTCTTATAGTATATGGTCAGATGCTATCAACCATAAGTTTAAAATATTTGGAAGTTTTGATTGATAATATGGATACATGGAGCGACCACGTAAAAATTAAGCTCAGGGTAAGGTTTGCGGAGTTGTATTGGTCCCTAAATTCAAGACAGCGCCTCAGTCTAAACAGTCTAATGAACAAGCTTCTCATATAATATATTAAACGATACTCAGATTGATCTGATCGTATGGAATTTAAATCTGGGGGGCAAATAAATCTCAAATTATTTTAAATTTATTCTTTTAAAATAAAACTATTCCCACTATAAACGGTGCACTTTTCTCGAAACAAATTTTTTTTGTTGCGGTCGCCACGATATCTCAAGTCCAAAACTCATTTCAACCAAAAAACAACGGTTTGGTGGTGGAATCAGTGGTACCTATATCATCAAAAATTATGCTGAGATAACCGACTATTTGATGCCTGAAATTGAAGCTAGTGATCTCAGCGACACTTGGTTACAACAAGATGGCATCACTTCCCACACAGCACTACAATCAATGGATTTATTGAGAGAACACTTCGCTTAGCAGATAATTTCACCTTTTGGGGTGATCTTTTGGCTACCAAGATCGTGTGATATCACATCCTTAGACTTTTTCCTGTAGAGATATGTAAAGTTTTAAGTTACCGCAGACAAACTCGCTTCGATAGTTACCAGTCGAAAAGCTCGAACGAGTCATCGAAAATTGGACTCCACCTGAGATGTAGGCGCAGGCAACATTTAAAAAAGATAATCTTCAAAAAATAAATGCCAAAGAAAGTTCTTTCGAATGAAAATAAACATTCCCCATTAAATTTGAAGTTTTTTGTTTTTTCTTTCAAAAAATTTATTTCCAAACGCTCTCCAAAAAAAAAATTAATTTTTGGAAAAATTGTATATTTGAATACACTTATTGGCATTATTTCAATCACAGCTGTACCAGTATGTGAATATGGTATAATGCAAATTTGTGGAAAAACGCAAACATATTTTGGAAAAAGGTTACGAGTGCATGAATCCTATCAAATTACCTAATGCACACGCGGTATGTATGTAGGTGTATGCCAATAAAGCTGAAAATTTACTAAAATATTTATAGGTAGGTATCTAAGTATAGGTAGGTATGTACACATGTCAGTTCAATAAAATAATAAAAAAGCGTGAGCTAGTGGCTTCCAGAAGACACGACTGCATTCCATTTGGGACATCAATAAGCCACCGCCACTTCATAACCATCTCTCTGACTCATTGCGCACTTAGAGTAAACAAAATATAGAAAATATATGCATGTATGTATATGCACATGTTATTGTTTTTGTCATTTAATTTAAAAAAATATGTTGTGCTATATTTAAATATATGATCATCAGTCCCATTTGACAGTGAAAACCAATTCACATACGTTAATAGATGCATAACTACACAAACATATACATTGCTGCTAATATTTCCATATAAAAAATGTGTCTAATATTGATTTGATTTAGAAGAAATGTGTGGGTGCTTCTAGATTTCCATGATGTATTTTTTTCATTCATTAATTTTTCTAAATTCGCTAAGGTTATGATGCACGACTTTGTTTACAAACAAAATACGTTATTCTAGAATGACCAATTAACTAGCTATATATGTACATACATATGTATGTATGTATGTACATAGTAGACAATATATTGCCAACGAGTGTCGCAAGGAGACAATCAAATAAATTCGCTTATATCGAATATTTTTCTAAATTTTTACTAGGTCTCATATAAATATATAATGTCCATAGTATGTACATATGTATGTCTGTAATAAAAATTTCGAATGATCTACAAATGTGACGTCACATCCTACAGCAGACATTCCTCTCTCGCCGACCATTTGGGTAGCTTCACTTGATCGCATCTGTCATAAAAATATTTGTCATTCTATTTATATTTACAAACTGATTTATACATAAATACATACATACATGTGTACATATTTAGTAAAATTTACGATTATACTAGAACTCTGTGATTGATTCCATTTCAATATGTAAATATAGTGACCTTTTGTTGACTAGCTTGGCTTAAAATATAACTGCTTATGTTTTTGATTTTGCATTTCCTTAACAGGCCAATTGCGTGTACCGGTTACTCCTACACGTCTTCGAGCGTAGTTAGTTACAGTAAATGACAGTAAATATTTTTGCTAAGATTAGTCAAGTTCAAAATATCCATTATTGAGTGGGTAAATTATTGCGAGTGAAATTATTTTGCTCACAAAATGAGTGGTAGCTGTCATGTCAGTCTTTCCGAGTAAGTCTTCAGGGTGGCTGTGCATTTATTGTGACAAAAATATTTGCATCTTTAAAGATATGATATGCATTCGATCATAAAGGCGTTTTTAAGCCGTAATTAGGGTTGAAAATGCCTTTTATCTATTTTCACCTATATGTTGATTTGTGTAACCATTAAAACACACCCTCATTTTGTCGTGGATTTTCCCTTGCCCTGAGTCAGCTTTCGCATTACTGCAGGGCAAGGTTTCCAAGGTGGTCCTATTGAAAGTCAGTTTCTACTCGCCCAGCGTCCAATGATGTCCACGACTTTGTAGTCATCATCAAGCTATTAGTTCATCTTCTACTGACTCGGGTTATACGGGGACGGGAACGATAAAATTAAAATCCTTGTATAGAAAACTATTTTAACTGCAAAGGGTATTATTATTATATATATCGTGCGAYTTAACTTTTTATTAGGTTACTGAAAATCACAAGACTATTACAATAAACCCATAACCACATGTGCTTTAAAGAAAGAGACTCAATGATGGAGAGTGGGGAGGTCATTTTACTTATACATCATATCTTCTTTATAATTCAATAAGAAAGTTACAAACGAGAGTTTAAAGGCCGTGTTTTCTATTTAATTAAAATTTCTCCCTTCATATTGGGTTTACGGGTTTAAAAAAGTCGAAGTTTTTATTGCCTTATCAAATTCTACAACCCTCTAGAATATTGCCTTAATTTCCCAAGTTATTCCGTGTAGTAGTTTCGGAGATACAGCCTTAAGAACTTGTGCGCTCGAGGCTAGCTAGGCTAAGTCTTTGAACGCATTTTTCTCGAAACTGTGCTCTTAAAGTCGGTTGGCAAGATTTCTCGAGAACTACTCAACCTGTCTTCATGAAATTTTACACAGGTCTTTGAGATACAATTCTTAAAGACTTGGACGAAGGATTTTTTTTCAATTACAACTATTTGAAAAAAAAAAAAGTCTTGAAAATTTAACTCAAATTTTAATTTTTTGTTTTGTAAAAATGTCTGCCAAAAATCCATTTTAATTTTTTTTCCTTCGTCCAAGTTTTAAGTTATGATTTTTTCCAAAGGGTCACCGGAAATCGCGTCGCAATGGCCGTTATGTTAATAGTTAATGGTGTATGTTTTGTAATTATAAAATAATCTGATAAAATATTTAATTTTTTAGATAAGAAAAGACTTGTTGAAAAAAACTTTTTTTTTACCTGAGGAAACCCATGTATCATTACTTTTATTATTGAGAAATAAAATATAAATTCAACAATTAATTTGTTAAATTTTCAATCCTAAACTAATAATAATTATAAAATAATACTACATTTTTCGTATATCCCTAAATGCAACCCAACCATTTGAGTGTGAACTCAGACTCTCTATCACGCTCTCAAAAACAATTTTGAGCGCATTTCTTGAAGTATCTTCACATGCGCAGCCAAAAGCGACCGCTGTGTACGCCAACAAATAAAAATCACTGAATGAGTGAGATACGAATTAGTCTCAAAGCAGAAATCCAAGTGATAACTTCCCAAACGTGCGAAGCGAAAAGTCATTTTGTGCTAAAACAAATACTAAGAGAGCAGAAGAAAAGTTGTCAAGTGTGAAAGCGGACAAAAAACAAAAAAAAAGAGCAAAACAAAAATTGTTTCGGCAAACAATACTAATTTTTCGTGTAGAAATCAATAAATTTGTGTTAAAGAATCAATAAAAATGGCCGATGGTAACAAGAGGAATATCCCCATCAAATTGGGCGACTTCAGCATTCTCGATACAGAATTCTCAAGCATTCGTGAGCGTTTCGATGCGGAAATGCGCAAAATGGAAGATGAGATGAACAAGTTCCGGCATGAGCTGATGTCGCGCGAGGCAAACTTCTTCGAGTCCAGCAGGTGTGTACAAATAGTTATACCTAAAAGTAAAACTCTTGTTATATTGTGTAAGGAAGAGACATAGCCCAAGCCCAAAAAGGGATATTACTTCTCATTATTATAACTGCGCAAAAAGTGGCGTTTCAAATGAAGACAATTGTGTTTATGTACGAGTATATGATATGAAAAAGGTTTCCTGCGCGCCCAAAAGGAAGTGTGCGACATCTGTTTATAGCATCTGCTTAGCGCATATTATAGGATTATAATGGTGCTAAATATAGTTATTAGTGTTAAAGGCATATGCATATCGGCTACTCTGGTATTTTATGCAATTTGATACCTCGGCTTTGCCAGTCATTATGTGAGCTTTATTTTTCCTTAATTTATTTTTCTTTTTGCTTCTTTCTCTATTTCTTTAATTTAGTCGCATGGCGAATATAAGTATAGGTATACAACATCACATTACTTAATTCGTAAACGACTTCTTGTTAGTTCTAAACGCGGCATGCTCAAGTTTCACACCTTCCCACACCACAAGACCTTTTTGGGATTGAAGAAGTGGTTAGTAGGTACGGTGCATAGTATTCTATGGCCGTTAATTTTGTTGAAGCTGTTGGGATCGAAAGAAGATATTTTTTATGCATTTGAGACAGTTCCTTAATCGATTTACAGTTAGAATTATAACTTTTCGATAATTTATGAAATTGTAAAAAATAAAGGGTGTTAATATATTTTCTGAAAATTTTCAGGTGTGGTAAAAAATAAGTCGATGAAATGCAAATAAGTTTCGTAGCACGTATTCTATATAAAATAAGATTTCCATTATAATATTGGGTAGTCGAAAAAGACTTTTCGTATTTCTAATCAAACTTCAACTTATTTAATTAAAATTTCCATTCTTCTCTTTTTTGTACAAAAATTTCGAAATATGGCGAATTTTTTTGAACAGCAATAACTTTTTTTCAACTTCCCCGAATTTAATTTGTTTTTGGTTAAATCTCACCTTTCCAACACTATATGGTATGACACAATGTGATTGGTAGTACTGGAGATTTACGACTGTAACGACACCTAATGACAAAATACGAAAAGACTTTTTCGACCACCCAATATATGAAGAAGTGATATAAAAACACCAAGAACAGGATTTTGAGAAAATTTTTCGAGGAATGTTTAAGTTTACTTATTTTCTATATGCTTTACTGAAACTTTGTAGTAAAATGTTTTTTTTTTTTTGTTTTCTGAAAACAATAGTTAAATTTTCCACTCATCATTTCAGAAAAATATTCAAAGGATCCAATAACCGTCCTTAGATAAAAGGAAAATATAATTTTAACAAAAAAAGAAAAAATAATAATAGTCAATATTACAATAAAATAATCAGATTTTTGAAGCAATTGTCCCACTGAACTCTTGGCACGTCTCACTGATTTTCTATAGCAACGACCTCCTACTTGGCTTCACGACATAACATCGCGAGAAGAGCAGAAATATAGAAAAATCACAAATGCATTATATATAAATATATACATATGTATAGTATACTATGTGTACATATTTCATATACCACATAGTGCAAAGTTACCAACGCGTTTTCCACACTGAATTGCTACACTTTTCCGCAACCCCAGCCAACGCGGCAAAAACTGGGCGGAGTAGTGAGTGTTGCCTAAGCCTAATCATATACACACATAAAACTACAGATATGTATGTATGTATAGAAACTAAGCTAGCGAAAAATTACCGCTTGAAGACTTTCTGTCAACATCCGATTATGGCTGGCAGCAACAATGGAAAAGTAGATAAAGTTTGCCACGCTAATAACTTCATTAATGCGGTTGGTATAATCGCAAAGAAATGAAGGGTGCAAAAACTGAAGACGTTTCTTTTGTCGTTTCTATTTGTATAAAAAAGTCGAGAAAAGACTTAGCTGACAATGTTTAACTGAAGTTGGCAACAAATAAAAGCAACTCATACTTCTTCATCTAACTTATTTTTTTAGTTTTATTATGTTTTCGCCTTTGCTTACGTCTCTCTATCTATTTAGAAATCATTTGCAGCGGTAAAAACGGTTGATCACGAAGCGCGTGAAATGAAAACATGCCGCAGAATCGCTTGGTTCTAGTGCTCTACTGTTGCTGGGCTCCACTGTGCACTTGACAGCGGCACAAGAATGAAATGGTTAGTGGCAGGCAAGCGCTGTGCACGGAAATCCACAGAGAATACAATCATTTAGCATGTTTTTTATGTTAAATGCTATAGAGATTTGTAGATACATAGTATTAGTATACATACATACATACATATGTGTCTTTATTTTTTTTTCTTATTTGCATGTATTTTTTGCACATGCGTTTGGTGAAATGGATACTTGAAATCTTATTTTTAGCTCATGAGGATCTAGATTTTTACGATTCTTCTATTTGGCTAAGATTTTAAGATAATCGTACTTATTATAGATTAGAAATTAAATTTTTTTTTTTATAAATTCCTACTGTAATTTTGGTGTATAGTCGCAAAAAACGTCTGTGTTTGTTACTTTTATGCGTTTGTGCTCAGAAATAAACTACCGGTATGTAAGGTGCTTTAAAATTGATTTTCATCATTAGCCTTCTTCGATTCAACAAATCCTGCAATGTGGCGAATTGAACAAACAACTGGTATAACTCACAAACTAGACTACCATAACCTAAAAACTATGTATTAACAAGCGATTAAACCACTTATATTATTACCAGACTCTTTATCTCTCTCATTCTCAGTTGTTGTTACTTTCACATGTAAATTTGTGCCCAAGAGTGGGAATTTTCTTAATTTCTTTTTTACTAAGAACTACTTGCTAATATAAAAAGTGCAGAACAGCGTCAAAATGAACACGTCAAGTCAGTACACAGTTTCGCCAAGTCCGATAGGTTGACTGATTAGATTAGGTAACTTTCAGAATTATATATATAAGAATACAAAGGTACCGTATTCTTATTTGTTATTGTTTACGAAAGTGTACGTAAGTGTACGTGTGGAGAGTCTTCAGAAGCTCACCTGCTTTATCAGGTGTAATGACCCCGTTGATGACTGAACTAACGCATGCTTCGTTTCAACATATTTCTATTTTTTGTAAATGTGTGAAAAGTACAATTAATAGAGTGTCTCAACTCCATTCGTTATTAATTTGCTCATTATGAGAATTATTGTGGGCTTCCAGTCAAAGTTTTTGTATTGACAGCTGTACGAAAAGTAACCAAGAAAGTGTATGTAGATATTTTCAAGACATTATAGAAGTTCAATTTCTATATACCTGATGAGTATATCATTTACATTCATATGTAAATTTGTATCATACTTTAAATCCTCAGTGCCAAGTGCTAATGATTTATTTACACATCACTGTGCATAACAATTTAGTAAAGTAAACAATGCATGTAATATTAATGCCAACGAAGAGTAAATTTCCATGCAAGCATAATTTTGAAAATTTCAAAATCTTCGCATGTTTAATGTAATTTTCAATATAATGAGCTTTTGCTAGAAGACTTTTATATGAAAAATAAACTTTTCGTTTCATTTTGATACTAAAATAAACAAATGCCGCTAAGGCTACATGTAGCAGGTAAACCAGCGTGGGTGTTGCTGGCGCATTTGAATAACAGCTGTCGATGAACAATTCACAGCTACAATAAGCTTACGGTATGTGCAAATTGCTATACCGTACAGGAAACTGAAAATATTGCAAATATTGCTAAGAGATGGCATTCAGAGCGTTCAGCGAATTTTTTTATCGGTTCGATATCGGTTCATTTTTGCAGCGCCATTCACTTGATTGTTGAACATATATATGTAGTATAGTATAGTATAAAATCTCGTTTAAGACCTCTTTTCCACGTCGTTTTAGCAAAATATTCAGGTCTTTTGACAGGAGTCTAGCATGTCAATGCTTCATATCCAAAATATTAACCAAGCAATTTTTTTCTAAATTTTTGTATAGTAAAAATCGACAGTTAAACTTTTTAGATCGTAAAGAAAAAGCTGTCAAATGCAAACTCAATTTTCATAGAACAGACTTTACAAAAACAATTTTTTTTTCGTCGATTGGGATCAGTCCGGGTCAAATTTGATCATATGCAGGTTTATCAGTAATCGATTCAGAAAGAAGTTGTTTCACGATCAAGAAAAAATATGAAGGTTCTTTCAATTTTAATCGTTTGATGCTGAATTAGTGACTATATTTCCTACAGGTAACTTCATCTGTATATAAGCACCTACATACATACATATGCTTATGTTCACACACTGTGATGTAATTCCACAGGCACACTTTTTAATTTTTCTCATACCGACACTAATTACACCGATGATATAATTGATTCTCAATTTAGTTATTTTCGTACAGGTGATGTTTAGTGCTAAGCATTAACAATTTGTAAGCGCTTTAATCACCCAATGTGATTCCAGCACGCAAGAAAATAAACAAAATATAAATACATATGTATATTACTGCAAACATGTATAAACATACATATGTATATATATACATGTACATGTATGAGTGACTTTAAATATTCGCGTATTTTATTATGCAGATTTATTATCGTTTAGTTGGCAATTTAACTTTAATTGCCGTCAATCTAAACATTGCAAGTATTACCCATACTGAGTCAAGGATAGCCTCGTAATTTCCGTTGAAATTGCTCGCATTCAAACTTTTGGTTTATACTGAAGGTATGTCTGGCAAAAGTTTAGCAAACTTTGACAGGATATTAAGTAAAATACTCAAAGTATACATATGTATCTCAGTAAGCCATAATATATGAGAGTAAAGGTGTATGCATTTGTCTAGGTGTGTGTATTGTGAATATCCTCGCAAAATAATTTTCACCTAACGCCGATCGCGTGCGCTCTGGCCAGCAATGAATTTAAACAAGCTTTAGTTCACACTGGCCTGCTTTACTCTATGAGCACACCTCCCTATACTCATACGTAAAAGTATATATGTATGTATGTACAAACTATTTTCAAATTGCTAC